TATTGGGTAAATAAGCAGGGGTTTCCATTCTCATCTCAGATAAAATAGACTTCAAATCAAAGTTAATCAGAAGAAACGAAGAAGGACATTTCATACATCTTAAGGGAAGTATATATAAGCAGGATATAACAATTATAAATATTTATGCCCCAAACAATGGAGTATCTATGTACGTCAAACAAACCCTTCTTGATTTTAAGAGTCAATTAGACCACAATACACTAATACTGGGTGACTTTAGCACATCTCTCTCACTACTGGACAGATCTTCTAAACAAAAACTAAACAAGGAAACTATAGAACTAAATAATACAATCAATAATTTAGACTTAACAGACATATATAGAATATTTCATCCATCAATAAGAAAATATACTTTCTTCTCAGCCTCACATGGCTCCTTCTCTAAAATAGACAATATCTTATGCCACAAAGCAACTCTTAGTAAATACAAAAAAAAAACAGAGATAATATCTTGCATTCTATCAGACCACAATGGAATGAAATTAGAAATCAATGATAAAATAAAAAATACAAGCTACTGTAACAAATGGAGACTAAATAATACACAATTAAATGATGAGTGGATAGTAGAAGAAATCAAGGATGAAATAAAAAAATTCTTAGAGGTAAATAAGAACACTGATACAACAAGTCAAAATCTCTGGGACACTATGAAGGTAGCACTAAGAGGAGAGTTTATTGCATTGAGTGTATTTATTAAAAGAATAAAAAGTCAACAAATAAATGACCTAACACTATGTGTCTAAGCCCTAGAAAAAGAACAAATCAACAGCAAAAGTAGTAGAAGACAGGAAATAATTAAAATCAGAGCTGAAATCAATGAAATCCAAACAAAAGAAGCTATGAAAAAAAATTGACAAAAAAAGTTGGTTCTTTGAAAAAAAATAAATAAAATAGATAAATCCCTGGCCATGCTAACACAAAGAAAAAGAGAGAAAACTCAAATTACTAAAATACAAGATGAAGAAGGAAATATCAAAACAGACATATCTGAAATACAGATGATAATTAAAAACTATTTTGAAAATTTATACTCTAATAATAGAAAATATGAAGACATCGACAAATTTCTAGAGTCATATGACCTATCCAAACTGAATGAGGTCATAACGATTTAAACAGATCAATTTCAAGTAATGAAATAGAAAATGCCATCAAAAGCCTACCAACCAAGAAAAGCCCAGGACCAGATGGATTCTCAGCCGAGTTCTACAAGATTTTCAAAGAAGAATTAACACCAATACTCCTTAAAGTATTCCATGAAATAGAAAAGGAAGGAACCCTTCCAAACTCATTCTATGATCACCCTGATACCAAAACCAGACAAAGACACATCAAGGAAAGAAAACTTCAGACCAATATTCCTGAAGAACATAGATGCAAAAATTCTCAATAAAATTCTGGCAAATGCAAAAATATATTAAAAAGATAGCATACCATGATCCAAGTGGAGTTTATCCCAGGATGGTTCAACATTCAGAATGGTTCAACATTCAGAAATCAATAAATGTAATTCATCATATTAATAGACTTAAAAACAAAAATCATAATGATCATCTCAATAGAAGCAGAAAAAGCATTTGACAAAATACAGCACACATTCATGTTCAAAACACTAGAAAAACTAGGGATCGTAGGAACATACCTCAACATTGTAAAAGCTACATATTCTAAGCCCAAGGCCAGCATCATTCTAAATGGAGAAAAATTGAAAGTATTCCCTCTAAAAACTGGAACAAGATAAGGATGTCCTCTTTTACCACTTCTATTCAACATCATCCTTGAAACTCTAGCCAGAGCAATTAGATAAAAGAAAAAAATTAAAGGGATACAAATAGGTAAAGAAGAACTCAAACTATCAGTATTTGCTGTTGACATGATTCTATATCTAGAAGATCCAAAAAATTCCACCAGAAAACTTTTAGAACTAATAAATGAATTCAGCAAAGTAGCAGGATATAAAAGCAACACCCATAAATCAAATGCATTCCTATACATCAGTGATGAATCCACTGGAAGAGAAATTAGAAAACTACCCCATTCACGATAGCCTCAAACAAAACAAAACAAAAAACAACAACAACCTGGGAATCAATCTAACAAAAGAGGTGAAAGTCCTCTACAATAAAAACTACAGAACACTAAAGAAAGAAATTGAAGAAAACCTCAGAAGATGGAAAGATCTCTTATGTTCCTGGATAGGCAGAATTAATATTGTCAAAATGGCCATATTACCCAAAAGCATTACACAGATTTAATGCATCCTATTAAAATCCCAATGACATTCTTCATTCAAATAGAAAAAGCAATCATTAAATTTATTTGGAAAAAATAAGAGACCCAGAATAGCTAACGCAATCCTTAGAAAAGTGAAACAGGAGGCATCACAATACCTTACTTTAAACTATACTACAGAGCTATAATAACAAAAATGGCATGGTATTGGCACCAACATAGACTTGTAGACCAATGGTACAGAATAGAGGACACAGAGACAAACCCATATAAATAATAGTTATGTCATACTAGACAAAGGTGCCAAAAACCTTTGGAGAAAAGATAGCTTATTCAACAAATGGTGCTGGCAAAACTGGAAATCCATATGTAGCAAAATGAAATTAAACCTCTATTTCTCACCCTGTACAAAAGTCAACTCAAAGTGGATCAAAGACTTAGGCACTAGAACAGAGACCCTGCACCTAATAGAAGAAAAAATAGGCCCAAATCTTCACCATGTCAGCCTAGGATCTGACTTCCTTAACAAGACTCCTAAAGTGCAAGAAATAAAATTAAGAATCAATAAATGGCATGGATTCAAATTAAAAAGTTTCTTCTCAGCAAAGGAAACAATAACATGAGGAGAGCCTACAGACTGGGAGAAAATCTTTATCACAGGCACCTCTGATAAAGCATTAATCTCTAGGATATATAAAGAACTCAAAAACTTACCACCAAAAAAATAAATAACTTAATCAATAAAGGGCTAAAGAACTGAACAGACATTTCACAGAAGAAATACAATCAATCAACAAATATATGAAAAAGTATTCAACATCTCTAGCAATTAGAGAAATGCAAATCAAAACTACACGAAGATTTCATCTCATTCCTGTCAGAATGGCAATCATCAAGAATACAGGAAATAATAAATGTTGGTGAGGATGTGGGAAAAAAGGTACACTCATACATTGCTGGTGGGACTGCAAATTGGTGCAACATCTATGGAAAGCAATTTGGAGATTCTTCAGAAAACTGGGATTGGAACTACCATTTGACCCAGCCATTCCTCCTGGGTTTATACCCAAAGAACTTAAAATCAGCATACTGCAGTGATGCAGCCACATCAATGTCTATAGCAGCTCAATTCACAGTAGCTAACCAACCTATGTATCCCTCAGTAGATGAATGGATAAAGAAAATGTAGTATATATACTCAATGGAATATTACTCAGCTTTAAAGAAGAGTGAAATTATGGCATTTGCCAGTAAATGGATGGAGTTGGAGAATATCATGCTAAGCAAAATAAGCCAATCTCACAAAACCAAAAGCCAAATATTTTCTCTAATATGTGGATGCTAATTTACAATAAGGTGGGGGGTACTAGAGAAGAATAGCATTACCTTAGATTAGGTAGAGGGAAGTGATGGGAGAGGAGGGGAGGGGATGTGGGGATAGGAAAGACAATAGAATAAAATAGATAAAACAGACATTATTATTGTATGCATATATGTGACTGCATGACCAATATGATTCTGCAACATGTACACTCAGAAAAATGAGACGTTATATCCCATCTATGTATGATATATCAAAGTGCATAAATGCATTCTACTGTCATAAATAACTAATTAAAACAAAGAAAATTTTTAATTAAAAAAAGGAAAAAAAATATATCTTATGTTCCAAAGAAGACTAAAATATACATTGAGAACCCAGAGCATTTTAGTGTCAAATTAGAATGTCAAGTTCCTTAATGTCAACTTGGTTTGTTATATAAATAGATATTAGACATTGAGAACATGATTTCTATAACAAAATGAATGACTCTGGACAATATAAAAAGGATCATATGATTACCTTAAGATTTGGTAGTAAATCAGGGCTGAGGATATAGCTCTGATGTATACAAACATAATTTTGTTGGTATATAACCATACCCATCTATAAATGTACTTAATGCCATGGAACTATACATATTAAAGATGTGTTAAAATAGCAAACTTTATATTTTGTACATTATCACAATAATTAAGATGGGTGTGATGGCAAAAAAAAGAATGGATAGTATATTTTCTTACTAAAATAATTAAAAAACACTTTGATGTTAAATATTTCCATTGACTAAAATTTTATCATAACTTATTAATATAGATGTCAGAATGTCTATTTTTATCTGAAGAATCACCAAATACAGAGATTGCCTAGTCCTCCTTCTCCATCCACACTGCTCCAAATCTCCTTTATACACACACACACATGCACACACACACACACACACACACACAATTGATTGTTTAATCTAAAATCTTCAAAAATTCTCTGGAGCCAGAATGTTTCAAGGTTGAGGTTTAGAGCAATTAAAATATTACTTTAAAAAGACCATGAAATCAAGCAAGTTGGAAGTTCTTACATACAATGATAAACATAGAAATGGCAATAAATTTTGACCAAGAGTCTTTATAAATGAATGTCTAAGGGAAAACGATTAAAATTTCACTAACTGGGGCTGGGGCTGGGGCTGAGTGGTAGAGCACTCACCTGGCATGTGCAGGGCACTGCGTTTGATCCTCAGCACCACATAAAAATGAATAAATAAAATAAAGGTATATTTTAAAAAAAAGTTAAAAAAAATTTCACTAACTGATCCAACCCAGTCTTGAAGGTCTCAGAGGAATTCGGAAATGATCTATTGGGAGTCTTCTCAGTTTACTGATAGAGAAATGTTCCAGAGATACTTAAGTTAATTGTTTCTTACCAGTGGAGTCAAGTCTGTTTATACCATAAACTGCCTGGCTGTGAAACATCCAGAAGTGTCCGTTGTTGCAGGAAAGAAGGCAGGAATTACATGGAACAATCACATGATAACCTACAATGTTCCCACTAAAAACAAAAGTAAATGTTATTAGATACCATGTAATATCTGGTCCATAGAAGCATTTTTATGTGCTAATGTAAATAGACCATATAATTTAGATCCCCATTTCTTCCAAATTACCCGCTACTGGTAGGATCTTTGGGATTGGAATTAACTCTAATAATAATGACTGCAGTACTATTATCAAGTGGGAAAACAGTCTGCAAGTTAAGTGAAATTTTCTTTGCTAGTGTAATTTTTCCTTCAAAAGCTAGCTTCTGGATGTGATTTGTTCTGTAAAGTACAAATACAAGGTTGTGATTTGTTCTGTAAAGTACCCATATTGATGTATAGCAATATAGACAGAATATATTAAATACGCTCAGATCTGTGGGTAAAGGTTTTTGCTATCCTCAGGACCATGGCAAATTGGGTTTTTCTATGTTCTAGTTCCATGCCAGCACCTAAAAACTGTTTCAACAGATGGAAGAGTAGGAAGACAGCATGAGTCCCTGAAAACCAAACACAAGATGGTTGCTCTAATTTTAGTTTCATTTTTTTTGAAGGAATTCAGAAATAAAGCAAACCCTCAGCCTCTAGAGAAAGTTGGAAAAAGTTTTTACTGTCTTCAGTATTATTCAGCTGATTATAAGTACCTCACTCTTTCTCACACACTCAATTTTTTAAAAACTACTTAGTCACATACTAGAGCGGACCTATAAGGAATGTTTGAGTTAGTACTTAAAATAACTGTTTCTACCTTGAATTGTAAAAATTCTTCTAGAGCTTGGTGTCATCCTATGAGATGTGGGAGTAAGTCACTTTTGCTAGACCCTTAAAAAATACCATTAAAGTACCAGTCTACTTAAAATATGTCTTCTGATCATCACTTGCTTACAAACAAACAAATGAAAACAAAAACCTTTCTCGGACCAGGGCTGACAATTATTTGTAAGACTATATTGCCAGAGTAAATCTATGGCTTTATTATATTAATTTATCCATCCATTCATTCATTCATTCACTCAAATAATGTTTTTTGAGTACCTGTTATATGCCAGGTATTGTTCTATACTAAGAATCCAGTTCTATACTAAGTTCTTAATCTCATGGAACTAAGGTACTAGTGGGACTATATCAGATCATTTTTCTCCATTGTTAAAAACCCCTTCAATGACTTCCTGTTGGCCAAAAGAAAAGAAAAGAAAAGAAAAAAACCAATCACACCAAGGTCAAGATCTGTGCTGTCTGAAACAATAGCCACTAGCCCCATGTGGCTATTGAGCACTTGAAATGTGGCTGGCCTAAATTGAAATGTGCTGTAAGGATAAACTGTATACCAGATTTCAAAGACTAAGAACAAAAAATAGAATGTATAATGTCTCATTAATAATTTGTTGTTTATAGTTGCAATAATATCTTAGATATGTTGGATTAATTAAAAATATATATATTTAAATAATGATGTATATTTAAGTTAAAATTAACTTCACTTGTTTAACTTTTAAAATATTACTAGAGAAATTTAAATACATATATGACTTTAGTATTTCTATTGGACAACACTGCTCGAGATTATCTATGTTCTTTAACCTGTTTATACTGTTCTCCCACCATACTTGCATCTTAGTCATATTGACCATCATCTTTTTATTCCTTTAGCATGTTAAGCTTCTTCTTGCCATGGGCTCTTTGCATTTGCTATTCCCTCTGTCTAGAACATTCTTCCTCTGTCTCTTTCTCATTCTTTAGGACTCAATTCCAATGTGACATCTTTATGAGATGGCTTCCCTGACCATGATATCTAAAATAACTCACCTACTTTCCCCACTTATATTATTTTCTATCACTTCTTCTTCTTCTTCTTTACTCTGAAGTACTTCCCATCATGTTAAAAATATTATTCATTTAAATACCATAAAGATTGATCATCTTCCCACTAGTATAGAATGTACACAGGCTAGTGACTCTCTCAATTACTATTGTGTTTCCAGTCCCTATAATAATGTTAGGCACTCAATATAATTATTGTTTGAAAAGAACAATTTCAGAGAGTCATTAGCATATAGCAGTTTGCTTATTTAAATTATTAGGATTATAATTTGTAATTCAAGTCCCATTAAAATGAGAAAACCTCAATTTTTCTTTATAATAGGAATAATAACACAAATCTGTCTACCTCAAAATATAAGTAGTAGCTATCTTTTATGTTTTATTTATAGTTTATCAAGCCTTTTAACATTCATAATTCATTTTATCTTCACAACAACTTTAAAGGGTCAATACAGAAGACATTTAAGTTTCTATCTCAATAATATAGAAATTAAGTAAGAAAACAGGGGCCCAGAGATTTAGAGGTTTAAGGAATTTCCAAAAGATCATATAGAGAGTAAAGGTAGGGCAAGAGCTCAAATATGACTTTTATGACTATAATTCCCAGTATTTCCCTCTAAACTTCATTGTCTTATTTTGGAAAAACAAACAAAGCAAATACTTGTGAGTGCACTTTGAAAAAATTACAAAATCATACACCAATGTGAAGTATCACAGACTCTTTTAAAAAATAGATCTAAGTAACAAATGGTGTTTCAATGGCTCATTGCATGGGTTATATCAGTGTTCGTTGCAGTCCACTGAACCTTTCTCTGTGCTTTGCTGTCAACATCCATCTTCCAAACTTAGACTATCTAGAATAGTGCCACAAATTACCATTTTAAACACGCGATGTCCTTAAGTTTACATTTGCAGATTTCGGTGAAATAGCATCGTCCAATGAAGTCCACTGCACTGGGGAATGAAAAAGTTTACAGTCAAATATGCTTTTAAAAAACTTTGTGGAAAAAAAATTGACCATATGAATTTTTAAGTATATAGTTCAAAGTGTTAAATATAGTGATATTGTTGTGCAACAGAGTCTCTGGATCTTTTTCATCTTGCAAAATTGAAGCACTAAACTTATTATACAATAGCTCCTCATTTTCCTTCCCCTCATTTCTTGACCACTACCATTCTGTTGTCTTTTTGCATAAATTCAACTACTTTAGATACTTCTTATAAGTGGAATCATAGAGTATTTGTCTTTTGTGACTGATTTACTTCACTTACTAATGTAATGTCCTCACAGTTCATCCATTTTGCAACAAGTGACAGGATTTCCTTCCTTTCAAAGCTGAATAATATGCTATTGTGTATATATATATGTGTGTGTATATTCATACATACATACATACATGTATTATTTTGTTTATCCTTTCATTAGTTGAATCAATGGACATTTGGATTGTTACTAACGTGAATAATGCTATTATGAACAGGACTGTGCTGCAAATACCTCTTCAAGATCCTGCTTTGAATTCTTTCAGGTATGACACTCAGAAGTGGAACTACTGGATCATATTGTAGTACTTCTTTTTTTGGGGGGTGGGGGGAGGGATACCAGGGATTGAACTCAGGGGCACGCCACCACTGAGCCACATCCCCAGCCCTATTTTGTATTTTATTTAGAGACAGGGTCTCACTGAGTTTCTTAGTGCCTCACTTTTTGCTGAGGATGGCTTTGAATTTGCAATCCTCCTGCCTCAGCCTCCCAAGAGACTGGGATTATAGGCGTGTGTCACAGCGCCCGGCTTCATATGGTAATTCTATGTTCAATTTTTTAAGGAACCACCATGCTGTTTTCCATATCAGCTGTACAATTTTTCATTCCCACAGTATGCAAGTGTTCTAATTTCTATGCATTCTCATATCAAATGTACTTTTAATTGCAATTTAGCACAAATTTTATAATTTGTGCTAAATTGCAATTAAATTTTATAACCAAGACTCTAAGGTAGAATTATAATATATTTTGTAAGAGTTAGTTAATATTTGTAAGCTCATTATAAACATCTGGCCAAGCTTCTATTTAAAAATCTTACGCATTCATTGATTTACTCATCTCTCAGCACATTAACCCATCACTATTATAACTCTGACAAAGAAGAATAAACAATAGAAAAGATCTGATTCTATTGTAGTATAGTCTAACCTTCAATAATTCACCTGAATCCTCCTATTACTTATCATAGTTATTGAAAAGCTAAAAAGGTTAATATTTAAAAATTGTAACTATGTGCTACTAAAAAGAAAAAACACTAGACAATAAATTTTTCTTTTTTGCAGCACACAGGTGCACACACAGACTCTTTTAAAAAATAGATCTAAGTAACAAATGGTGTTTCAAAATATTAATCCATTTATCTCTGAAATAAATTAGTTCTTGGCTTTGCAGTTAAGTGTGACTATACTTAAAACAATTCAGGGAAATTTGGCTGAGAACTTGTTTACAGAAGAGCCTGTAGCTTTATTTGGGTATATTTAAAAACTTTAAAAGTTTGTCATTACCATGAACTTTTTAAAAAGTATTAGGGCTATTAGCCTGCTTTCTCCCAAGTCTGTAACCAAAGATTTGAAGAATAGCTATCTATTAATATTTTTAAATAATTACTTTCATCTTAATAAAAAAGTTTCAATAAATAATAATCATCTTGGAAATCATGTAGGGCACATATATATTGATTATGGAAAGAAAAAAATTCTTTTAGAGCTAGATAAAGGTATATTTGAGTCAAGTAAATGGCTATTTTACCATATAGGAAGGAAATTTTAAGGACTCTTCACTCAAAAGTGGGAAACCGCTGAAATTGAATTTTAAAAGGGTTCAATTATGCAAACAATAATATCCAAAATAGGCTTTATGGGGAATAAAAATAATTTTAAGACTAAGTCTCCACGTTTCTCACATAAAAATCTAAGTCTATCTCATTAGGGGAAGAGGAAAGAGAGATTTGAGAAAAGAATATTGGGGAGTTGATTCAGTATGCCAGTTGCAAATAATAGTGAAACTGGAAAAAATATGAACTGGAAAAACATGAACACCTATGTGACTTTTCTCCAACAGTACTGAAAATCTTGCCGAATTTATTTTGAGTCTAGGTCACGAAATTGTTTCAGTAAGATAGGAAGGTTATGCAGGGCCTTGAGCCAGGAATCCAACTTAAGAGAGATGCGCAGCCACGTGACCTTAATTGAACTAGAAGCATTACATCAGGACTGACCACTTTGGCTAAACCACAGACTTTGTCCAGACAGTCTGCCCACTTAGATATATTCCAAAGGGATCATCAGACGTTTGGGAGTGGCTGGAACATCAAATGATAACCTCCTAGTTGACTCCCAGAGATCCAAGCCATACACTTTCCCCATTTAGTTAAAGACTACCGTTGCCCGCCACTAGCTTGACTTACTTGGTAGGAGGGATGTCTGTAGAGAAAAGGTCTATGTCAGTATCAGCCAGCAAAACAGCCTTCATGCCCCTAGAGCTGAGCACTTGTTTACAGAATTTGCAACACAGGATGGACACGCATCGGTCCTTGAAACTACAACTGCTTGTAGACATAGCGTCCCACGAAGGATGAGGTGCGGGGTTTTGAAAAAGGAAATAAGAGCAATAGCCTTCCTACTTTGAGCCCCCTAGTCTAAAGACCAAGTCACGAGTTCTTATAAGTCCTAAAATTGGGAAGGAAAAGAGTCCTTTCCTGTTTTCCCAGTGGAAGGATAGAAGAAATATTTATTGATTGGGAATGGGGTGGGGGCAACAGTTTGGCTTCCTTTTAACTTCCGGAGAAGGGAGAGGCGTTAGAGGTGGGGAGGAGGTGAGTGGGGTTTGCAGGGAAACTTTGTCATCAGCTTTCCCTTTCTGCGGTCTGTGAGGATCCTCTCCTCTTTAGCCCCCGCCCCTTCAGCAATTCCCCCAGGCTTCTCCAGCAGTCTTTTTTATTTAAAGCTTCTCTCTAACCACATCCCTCTCCCAGCCTAAGCCACTCCTGCGGAGCTCTCCAATTCCTCCCTCTCCCCCCACGCCACCTCTTCCTAGGATTCAGAACCCTTCAGCTTTTCCACCGGGAGGACCCTGGCTCTCCTCAATCCTCCGTTCTCCCGCGACTCTCAGCACTGCTTGGCAGCAAGCTGGGCTCCCAGCACCCCCGGCCTTCAGCGTGCTCGCGCTCGCGCTGTCTCGCGTCCTCCCTCCCTCAGTTCTCCCTCGCGGTCCCCTCAGGTGTCTCCCACAGCGGCTGCTCCTGAGTGAGCGGTGGTGCTGGTGAAGTGGAGCAGGGGTTGCTTTTAGGTTCTTTCGGCGCTGTAGTCTGTCACCGAACACGTCGTTCTTTGCTCCTTCTTCCGCTTTTTCCGGCTGTCAGTTTGAATTGCCAGCGCGTCGCACCGATTGGGAGAACTAGAGTTCGCCCAAGTCGCGCATTGGCAGCTCTCGGGCCTTCCTCTGATGAGAGCTCAATGGCTTGGAGACCGTACGCCCCGCCCCAGTAACGGTGCCGAGATCAGATAGGCTTTCTGGTTGGCCAAGCTTGGCTCCGCCTCCCATCTCATTGGTGGATTTCGGGAGGTTCGGGCCAACCCTCCTCCCGCCCTGGTGGAGTGGCAAGGCACGCCCTTTTACGTTTTTTATTGGAAGATGTTCTACAGTCCCCACCTACTTCTGCTCTCTATTGGCTAAAATTCCCCGCCAACGCCCCTCCTCCCTACCCCAGTCCAATTGGTCATGGCTTTTCTCAAGAGTTTGTGTTTGGCTGTTGGTTCCATTTTAATACCGCCCATCAGTTCTACTTTAGGGTTCGACAGCCCCGGGAGGAGCTTACTCTGCGACCACGCCTCAGCAGTGAGTGTTAGTCACACCTCCAAGTTTCGTAGGCTCCTCCCCATGTCCCTGGTCTTGAGATCAGCTATTCTTATTGGCTGGATGCCCCATCGGTCGATAGAAAGCGGGCGGTGATTGGTAAAGGGGTGGGTTCAGCTTCCCGGCGGGGTCCTGCGGAGTTGGCGGAGGCTCCTCAGGGGACTGGGGGGCCGATCTGCGTAGAAGCGGGTGGTGGGGTAGAGAGGGGAGGAGAGCTCCGAGTGGGAAGTGGAGCCAGGGGCCCGAGACCCGTCGCGTCAGAGCCAGGTAAAGGCTCCTTCCCTCTCCTCTTCCTTCCCTACTTCCAGGCTTGATCACTGACCGAACAAACCCGGGCTGGGGCGGGAAGGAGAGGGCGCGGATGCTGATCGCGGCATCGCCTTGGCTGTGCGGCGCGCCTGGAATCCCTCAGCCCGCCCCCCCTCGCCCCCGACCCTCTCCAAATCTCCCAGTACAGCCCATAATACTTCTCAGGACTGCATGTCTCTCCGCCCATCACCGCACTGCCTGAAATTCTGTCCTGGCTTACTTATCCGAGCGCAGTCTGCATCCAGCCCCCTCCCCTTTTCTTCATCACACCGGCAGCCTGGGTCCACGTTGGGGCAGCCGTCATTGGCGTAGCCGGTGACCATCGGCTGGCCTCTTCCCCTGTCTCCTAGCTCTGGCAGAAAGCCCAGGTCACGGACCAGGACTCAGAAGGATGGGTGTTCCACCCAGCTTCCGGGGCTCTTTCCTTGTCCTACCCTCCTAGCCCACTCCGAAGGGCTCCTCTTCACCCACTCCGGTTCCCAGGCCCGCTTCTCGGTACCAGAGTTGCTAACATCCTTGTACTTCACGTAACATCCCAGCCCACCAAAGCCTCCCAACTGACCCTCACCCCCAAGACCATCCTCTCCTAGCCCTCTCCCGGATTTCCAAACATATGCAGCTCTAGTTGTCTCCGGGCTCCCGTCCAGCCTCAGGACCCCACCTCACAATTGCTTCCTCGCTTCCTGCCAGCCTGAACCACGCCGCCTCTACTCCTTCTCTGCCTCTCTCAGTGCGGCTCTTCCTCCGGCCCCGGGAAGTGGAAGATACTCGCGGAACCTCCTCCTGGCGCTCAGAGGGAGGAAAGGGGCGGCCAAGGAGGGAGGGTCCCCGCTGCGGCGAGACAGGGAACCAGACGCCGGCCTTCGCGCTCCCGCCTGTTTCCCTCCAGCCTCCCGGGCCTTGGCCAGGGAGGTATCTTCTCCAGCACCTCCTCGCAAAGATCTCTCCCCACCCCCAGACTGGGATTGGGTGCGGTATCTGGGATTCCTGGGCTTGGGTGTCAAAAAAATGTTGGGGATGGCATTAAAGTCACTCTCGTCCCTGGTTTTGGGGGAGGCAACGGCTGCCTTCCGTCCCCCATCCCCCGGTTTTCCCGGTTCCGACCCTCGCCTCTAACCCGTTTCCTGCTTCTGCCGACCACATTGTTTTCCTGGATATGTCCCGTGCGGAGCAGGCTTTTTCCTGCAGATTCCCCCCGCCCCCCCAACATTTTGCTGCCAAGAGAAGCTAGTAACCAAAAACAAAACAACTGGGAGGAGGGGCGGGAAGGGAAGAAAAGTTGTGCCCGGGTGGCTTGTCCCTCTCCGGCTTTGATCCCTTTTGATGTCCAGGGAGGTGCTCCAGCCAGGGGTCAGGGGCCGAGTCGCGGGTAGGGCCCGAGGCCCCCCTTGGGTTGGCGGCTGCCCAGTGCTGGCGGAGCTCGGGAAACCGCCGAGGTGCCGCAGTCCCCGCCCGGGGCTCCGCGTTCCCGCCGCAGTCCCCGCCCGGAGCCCGCGCAGGCGGCTGCTCCAAAGTGTTTTCTTTCAGCCTTAAAACAAAATCCGGAGGGAGCTTCCTTCCTCCCCACCTCTCCGGGCCGGTCTCTGCTGGCCAGGCAGCGTTTGGCCGAGATGAATGGGCCAAGGCCAGGCTCGGAGCGACATCCCCAACCCCACCCCCGCTGCGATTAGGATCTGCTCTTGGGTTGATCGCCCCCTCCCCCTTTTCCTGCATTTACAGGCAAGTGAACCGGAGCAAACGACTTCCGATCCAGTCCGCGCTGCTGTGGCTCCCGTTTGGGATTTGATTTGCAGCATCTTTGAGCCTGTACGACAAAAAACCGCGAAGCACGCCCAGCCCTCCCCTGGCACCCCGATACAAACCCACTCCCTCCCAGGGACATAGCTGGGCGCGTCCACACCCCCGCACCCCCACACCATGTTGTGCGGAAGGACTTCCACTCCCCGCCTGTGTCGTTGATGTCAGACCCCAGGCCAGGCTGCGGGCGCTGCCGTTGTCCAGGCTAATGCTGAAGCTGTGGCTCGGGCTTTAAGCACAGGAACCAGTCGCCGCTGTACTCGGCCCCAGCGCCCACCGTCTGCATGTGCCCGCCGTAGCCGCCTGCTCAGCCCGCGCTCCCGGAGCGCTGGAGACCACCGCGGGGGGCCCCTTCTGCCCTTGGGAGAATCTGTCTTGGAGGTATTGATTTTTTGGTTGGATTTTTCTCCTGGATCTATCAATTCACAATTCGAATTTGGAAGAAAGAAGGAAAACATGACGTCTCCAGCCAAATTCAAAAAGGATAAGGAGATCATAGCAGAGTACGATACTCAGGTCAAAGGTAAGGGCTTTGAAAAATGGCATAATGCATGTGCTCTATGGACTGGTGAGGCATGCATTTCCACCCTGATTTGCAGGCTGTTCATTTCTTTGGGTGGAGCAGGTGGGGGCAGGCTGACCCCAGAGGTGGTTTCATAGATGGGTCCAAGTCTCCTGAGGATGGGTAGTGCCAGGGGCCACAGGCACTGGTAAAGAACTGGAGTGGGCTTTAGGAGTGCCTTTGTGGGTCTGGCCATTATTTTGGCAGCCCTTTCCCCCAAGCTTGGACAGGGTGGGGGGAGGGGCAAGAGGTTCTTGGAGAGAAAAAGGTGGCAATTCGGCACTCACCTCCCCCTGTCTGGGTCGGGTTTCCTTGAAGAACAAGTGAAATCTGACAGGTGTTTGGACATTTAATTCAGAGGTTGAAGGGGAGTCCTGACAGAAAGGCAACCTTGGGAAGGTGTACCATTTGGAGAGCCCTGGGAGAGGCGGGGTTTTTTCTAATGCACTATGTCAAAGCCTGAGATTTGTAATGGTACCCTGTACAAAAGTGCCTAACCGTATTGGGTGCACCTTGTACCTGCTCCATCCCTGGTCATTCTGCATACAGTTAGAGATCAGAGGACAAAAAGAATAAGGCCATCCACACCCTGTCTCCACCCTTACCTAAACCTGAATAGAGTTGGGGTGTTAGGGTTTCAGGGTGGTGCTGATTCTGGAAAATGGGGAGACATAATTTTTAAGCCCTTCTGTGTAGTTGACCTGTGCTCCAGAATATATGCTTTCGAAGCCCCATTTCCTTCTCTGCAAAAATGTGAAGGGTAAAGCAAAATGTGGACCTGGAGAAACCAAGTGACCTGTCTCTTCATCTAGTGCACCACTGCCTGACTTGGCTGGTCCATCAGAGCCCCTACACAAATAGCCTTTTCTTAATCAGCGCATTTCCCTTAGGAGGGGTTCCTGCCTGTGTAAGATATCTAGCATGTGTTTGTGCAAGGCACTGGCTCTTCCTGACCAGTCCCTAGAAGAGCCATGCCACTTCAGCCCATTGAGACCCTAGCTGGGGAGTGGGAGAGGTGGGTGGCCTTGAATGTTACACCACATGGTTGGAGCTCTGGGTTTTCCTTTGTTTCAGAGTACAGAGGGAGGGGCCCCTCCTTCTTTCCCTGCACTAATGCAAGGAGACCTTTCCTATCACAGAGGACTTGGGAAGGGCCATGTCTCCCCTCTAATGATTGCCTGGGGTGGGGGTAGAGGTAGAGTGTGTGATGGGCAGCTGCCTTATCTCTTGGAAGGTTGGAAGGTAGTTTGAAGTCCCCATTGTGTCTGCAGGATCTTTTGTATATCATCAGTTTGGTCAATGCTGAGGTGCCCTAAGGGACCTTCTATCCACTTGGCTGCAAATATTGGTAGGTTTATTACAGAGATGGGGGAGTTGACTGATTGATAGCTTCAGTTGGGCTGGGATTGAGAGAGGTGTGGTTGTGAGTTATAATTGAGGTCTTGGCCTCTTGTCACTGTTCATAATCTGGGCCTGTTTTTGTAAACAATAGGCCACTGGCCTCTGTCCTGTTCAGATGCACTTCATTCTGCTCTTGGAATCCCCCCTGCAGTTTTAGCCACATATGTCATTTTTTTCCTCTTTTTTCTTTTAATACATCCTATTCTTAACTGTTGCCATAGGGAGTGTTAATAACTTTGACTTTCCCAGATTTCTCTCCAGAAGCACACCATTTGACTAAGGTGCAAAGTGATTTTACATGCTTATTTTTTGGAAGGTTCAAGGCGATAGGTGTTAATAGAACATGCCAATTTCTTATTGGTAAAGGATTTCTCACGAGTGTCTCAAAATTAAGCACTTGGTATATTTACAAACATTGCTCATTGAGATGATGTAATGCAGTCAGCTATTTGGGGTTTCTCTTCAACCTTGCCACAAGCAGGAGACTGTTTTGCTTTGCTCCAGTATTTTTCTATTGACACTATTCAGGGTCATAGAATTTTATAGGTGATTGAGCATTGATATCTTCCTCAGATAAGGTACCCGGTGAATGCTTAGGGAACTGATCTGAATGGTTTAATTCCTTATTTTATAGCTGAGGAGAGAATGGAGAACAGAAGAGGCTTGTCCAAGGTCACCTAGTAAGGTGGTAGGAGATCTGAGCTAGAAACAGGTTTGCTGATTTCCAATTCCCTATTCTGTGTCTTTACTATGAAACATTATCTAATCAGGGTGGGGGAAAAAAATTCTGAAGGAGCCAAAATATGCCAATGAATAACAGTGAAAATGATAATACTTTACATTTTGGGTGCTCACTATGTTTCATCCTGTCTGAAGTGCTTTACATGAAATGGTCTTGTTTAATCCTTACATCAGTCCAGGAGGTGGATATTATGGTCATCTTCCATTCAACACATGAGGAAACAGAGGCTCAGAAAGGATAATAGGCCCTTCCAAGGTCACACTGCTGGACTGTAGCTTTAATCATGAGTTATTTATTGAGTGCCTATTATGTGTTGCAGGGGAAACCTATATAGCAGAGAAGAAGGAAGAATCCCAACTATAATGGAGCATACATTCTAGAACCTGTACTCTGGAAGAGCAAAGAATTTTTAGACAAAGAATCTGGATTCAGGGTTGACTCTGTCCCTTCCTATCTGGAAGCCCTTCTATCAGAATTATGGGTTTTAGCTCTATGTGTTCTGTGGGGCTCACATGCTGCCACCCTTATTTCTCTTATAGATGCCAAGATAAAAAAAAGAAATTTGCTGTAACAGCAAAGCAGTTTGGATTGGTGCTTAAGAGCACGGGTTTGAATCAAAGGGGTCAGGGTTTAAATTTCCATTCTGCCACTCATTGTATGATTTGTCTGAGCCTCAGTTTCTTAATTTGGAAAGTAGGCAAAATGATAGGTATTTCCTAAGAGAGTTGTGGGCAGTCAATGAGATGGTATATATTGATCACTTAGCACAGGATCTGGCCTGTGTTAGTGTTCAAGGGTTGTGTATCCTTCCCCTCTTCAGTAAGCCTTCCTTGCTGACTTGGGCTGGTTGGTAAGCCTGCGTGTTGTATTCATTCTCAAAGCACCAGTCGTTAAATAATAGGCAACGAATCTAGAAATGAAACTTGAATTCTAAATTCATCTAGTAGTAACAGAAGACATTTCAAACTTGTGGACATGAGTTTCCTTTTTTTGCAAAATGAACAGGTAAACTGTCTAAGTGTTGGCTACTTGTTGTTCTGTATGTCCCTGCCCAGAGTCCTTGGTCTGCTGTTCAGTGAGGGATGGTTTGAATCAAGTAGTCTCTAAATGGACTTCGTGGGACTTTCTGTCCTGTGGTTTTTGCCTCCCCTGAAACCACCTGCTTTCATGTGTCCTGAAGAACTCTGAGACTGTAGCCCCAGTGCCACCCCAGTGTGGTTTTATGAGGGGTACTTGCGTCCCTGGTCAGCCTGCCATGTAGCTGCCTTATTAAAAACCATCATTGTTTCTGGTTTGTGGGTGTTCAGATTCCTTTGAAAGTTCATGCCTCTCAATGTCAGACTGGAAAGCACTAACATATTTAGTCTTTCCACATAGCTTTTCCAGTTTACAAAGCACTTTCATATGCATTCATCTCTGAATATTCTTGAAAACCCTGGTCAGAGTCATGGTCATAATCTGGTGCCTTTGGCCTCTATCCTGTTAGCTTCTTTGCTGGTACTTATCAACAAAAGATGAGGAGATGCAGGGCATAGTACCAGACATCCTAGACTCTGTATTTGAATGAATTCACATCACTGCCTACAGTTCCAGGTATTATCTTTCCTTATTCATGGTCCCCATAGCTTCCTCATTCAAGGTCGCTACTCCATACCTTGAGTTTTTGCAGTCTCCTAGAAGCTTGAGATCAACAGTTAATGCAAAGATTCCAGGAGGAATAGTCTCTGTGGCACTGTGTGCTAAGCAGTCAGCTTCTCTCTCTCTCAATATCTTAGAACAGTGTGTGTGCAACA